ACTCTTTCCTCAGCCAGCACTGACTGCTGAGTATCTTAACTTCCACATATAACTAAGACATATTACTTAGCTACTATTTAGAATGAAAAGCCATACTTTTCAGGATAGAGGAAAGAGCAGCAGATCTGAGTATGTCTAATGGGACCACAAAAAAGAAAAAGAAAAAATGCAGTAAGAATTCCCTAACATTAAAATTTCAGCTAACTCCCAATAAGGGATTCAGTGCTCTGGAGAGAGCTGTAATGAGTGAGTTTATGGAACATAATTCAGGGGGTTTAAACTTTTTTTTTTTCCTCCAGAATTTCTGCAACTCAATTCCAGGGTTATACCACAGGTTCTGCTCAGAAAAGAGCAGCACTGCTGCTGCACACCCACAGCTTCACGATCACGCAGATGCCGTCATGCTGCCTCAGACAGCACAAACCTGTCAGGTCATTGCACCTCCTCGGTGCGTATTCCGCTCCGCGGGAATCAGCTGCACTGCTTACCTCATATAGGCCTAAGGAACACTCTTAAGAGAGAAAGAGGTATCTCTTTCTGTTGCTCAGTCTATTTCCCCAAAGTCTGCAATTATGTGTTACTAATGATCTTTGAGTACAGACAGAGCCTGAAAAACACCTTCCCACAGAAACTTGCAAAAGGAATCTGCTCCACACACCACCTCTTTCCCAGTCCCCTTCATATCCGGTATTTTCTGCAATTGCAACAAAGTTAAATATCTCTATTAATACTAAGTGGGCATCATGAAGTAATTCCTATCCTCCACTATATAACTCGGGAGAAAAGAAAGCTATTTATCTTTCAGAAGCCAAAGACATTACACAATGGTTTGTCATCTTCCCAAAATATAAATTCTTCAAAGTCTCTTTTTCCAGGAAAGTTGAGATAAGCACTTCTCACCAGCAGGCTGAAGCCACCTATTCACAGCAGTGTCTTCTGGGCAATCTACATAATTCCAGTGCACGCAATAAAGGCAGGTGTCAGGAAGAACACATTTCACTCTATGATCACTACTGCAGCCTTACGTAAGCAGGTTAAGTTGAGGAAAACCCATCTTTATCTTTTAGCAAAGTAGTGGCTACTGTGTTTTCCACAGCAGGAAGCTCTCCGTGGAGAGCCACCTCCTCCTCACCACCTCGGGGAGCTCTGATCTCCAGGGAAATCTGGTGTAAAGTTACCTTCTCATAATTAGTGTTCTGACATCAAAGTCAGTGTGCAGCTGTCTGTAAACCATCTTCAGCCCAAGAAATGAAGGGACGCCAGCACAGATTTTATCCAGTCTCTCTCTTCAATTCCAAAAGCCACACACAGGCAAAGCATTAATGGGAAGATTCTTTTACAAAAATGGACCTTTGATGTTTAAAAATAATTTGTTTTGTTTTGGGTTTTTTCCTCAGGACTGAAGAGGGACAAAAAGCAGATGCCATGTGGCTAGCCCTGCTCTTATTTTGCTGCTGAGAGTAAGGAGAGCGGAGGATGGCAGGAATGGAGGAGGGAACAAAATGTAATCAATCAGCAGCAAAAGCATGAGAGATCAAAGGGCTTGAAAACAGCAGTCAAAAATCACATGCTGTTTAACACAAGGGCAGAACCCCCTCAGCAGAATCTGCAGCTGCTTCCAAAGCTGCTTTCAAACTGGAAGGGAGGCTGGCTCCAGAAGTGCCTCTAAGTGGTTTGAACTGGACTGAAATTCTGAGAAAGATGCTGGAATCCGCAGGCCACCACTGTTCAGCTCCACGCTCATCAGCCCAGCTTCACATAAGGCTATAGCCAGCAAAACAATAAAAGCAGTTGGGGAGACGTGAGGACAGCAGGATTGCTGAAGAGCAGCTCCAAACTCTCTCACCCTTCTTTCCCTCCTTGTCAGACACAACTGACCCTCATAGATGAGAACGTGACTAAAGTGAACACCAAAGTAGGCTGGACACATTGACTGCTGTTTATCTCTCTATATATTTGGCGTCTTTTCCAGACTAGTAGGACCTCAGTGTATCTCAAACATACCCAAACATTCACCTCTGGCTTGGCAAGACCTCTTTCTGACATATTTTCAACTTAGTCCTTTCAGGGTCTGGTTTCTGCTCCTAAACAATTCAGAAATCCACCAAGAATAGACTGCAGCCACACAGAAGTCAACCAAGGTAGAGTCTCTGCATTTGTGTGAGAGCAAACACACATCTTTGTTAAGCTCCTACAGGATCAAGCTCCCTTTGAACCTCAGCCATCCTTTCTTCCTACTTAGGCTTTCCACTGTTTAATCTCTTGGCTAGATCAGAACCAAAGTTAAGAACTTCCCGCTGTAGGAGGCATTGAAGAGTGGGAAACAATGAAGGAGATCTCTCAACATTAAAGCTAGTCCTGGTGATGTGTGCACCGAGCACAAAGAACAAAGCTGATTCTGGAGATTCTCTGACAAACAGTGATGTGCCCACATTGTACTTCATTTTATCTTATTTGCCAGATATATCCAACCTTGCTCAAGGCACTGAATTCCATATAGCTGCCTTGCAGAAAGTATGCCTGACTGCATTCAAAGACCATCCTGTGACAGCAACACAGCACTGTAGGAGCCATCAATTCTGTTATATCTATGGGGGCTGTTTTTAACTTTAACAAATTCATCTTTAAATCGGAGACACCCATAATGCTGGTAAATGTAGAGCTTCTCTTTCTCGGAGCAGGATTCAAGGGAGGCACATTCTACATAAGGAGTAAGGTATTTACAATAGGACAGAAAATATTCTTAGATGCAAGACAAAATAGATGGAGAGGGAAGAGAGATGATTTCTGTAAAATCTACAATTCTAAGAAAATTAATACTCAGAGAGGGGACAGGATTAGACTGTAGAGAAGAGAGAGAGAGGAGGTTCAGACCTCTTTTTCAAAGACCTAACTCTGGTACTTGGCAAAAGTGATACATCTGTACCTGAAAAAATCCTTTTCTGTATCTGGACTCTGTGTATTCTACCACACTGTCCCCAAAAGAATTATACTAGAAGTCAAACCAAAGACGGAGAAAAAAAAAACTCTGAGGAAACAAATGTGAATTAGTCATCAGCATGGGAAATTGCTGCTAGAATAGCTCGAATACGGAGATTTGTGTCCACAGAAAGGCTCAGACAAGAAATCTGAGCACACCCTACAACTTCAGAGCTAGGAACTGTGACCATCTTCTGTTCAGATCCTGCTGTCGTAGAAGTATGTGGCAGGCATGGGATAAAGTTACAACAAACCTGTTAAGACCACAATCCAGCATCTGGCTGGAAAGGCTTCCCTTTCTGTATACAGAACTTCACCAAACTTTTATCACGCAGAAGCTAAATAAGCAACACGCAGTAAGCACAGAGTATTAGAAAATACAAGTCTAGCCAAATTCTGCTCATCTTCAGCAAAACTACACCGTAAATAGCAGTTAGAAAAGTCCAAGCATTCAAGTGACAAAGGGAGCATTTGGTAATGAAATTTAGCTCTGCATGGAATCTGAGGCACACAAATGGAGGCTCTTCTGGACTGCACTTTTAATGCAATCGTGCTGCTTCCAGGCCAACGACTCAAAGGTACTTCAAGTTTCAAAGCTTTGCTTGCCTCTGGACAGCATACAAATTCCCATATTCCCATTCTTCATAGTAAGGAGCCTAAAATGCAATACTTTCCTACTGAACTCATCAGAACTGTATGCCACCGAGACACTTGACCCTAAATTACATTTGAGGGGAAGGGGTGAATCCTGAATTCTGAAGCATCTTTCTCCTCTTAGGCACTTGGCCTATAAGGGTAGGGCACAGTGAAAAAGCTCTCATTGTAAATGTTTTTTTTCCCTTACCTGTTCTTGCTCTTTTAGCAATTCTTGGCTGTTCTTAGATTTCTTTGGCTTAGAAGGGCCTCCAGGGCTGGAGGAAGATATTGGCAGCTTTGAAGATGGCATGTCTAATCCAGGAGATGCTGCAGCCTCAGGAGAGTCCTCCAGACACTGTCTATCTCCAGAAAAATGGACAAGTGGGGCACACTCATGCTTCAAGGGAGGACACAGTTGCCCCAGGCTGGTATGGGATTCTCTAATGAAGTCTTGCTTGTTTCTGCAGCTCTGTAAAGATGAGGTCAAAGCACTGTGGTCCAAGTCCTCTGGGAAAGCATGTGCTTGAGTTAGGGGCACATCCACTGCTTCTTCAGTGGAGCCAGCAGTCACTGGCAGCTCATTACATTGGACCATGGCATCCACAGCCTCCTCCTGACCAGAGGAAGAGCATTTCTTCAAGACAACCCTTAAAGAAAATATAAAAAGGAAGAACATCAAAATCATTTATCCTAAGAACACTGTCCTCCCCTTTCCCAATATGACCATGAAACAAAGGAGGCAGCTGGACTCAAACACACTCCTCAATTTAATCTGTGTCTTCTAGTCATTCTCAAATTCTCATGAACAAGTTCTCACTTCTCTCAAGTTTATGAAAGAGAGAAAGGGGGACCCCCCAAAAAAAAAAAATAACAGGAACTATCGTCTCCAAGGCAGAGGAATTGCCTTCCAGGAAGAA